TAACTTATAATTTAAGCGAAAAAAGAGGAAGAAGATTACATATTCCATAGTGCATTAAATATCAATACTACAAAAAAAAAATGTTGAATGCTAACTTTTTGGGTGCGTTTGGAATTATTTTTAAAAACGTTTTCGTATGTCTTTTGAGGCACGAAAACGAAAACGGTCTACAAATCGCGTTTGTTTAATAAAAGTTTTAAAAATGGAAACGTAAACAAAAACAAAAAACAATGAGAATGATTTTTGTGAAGAAAGTAGCAAACGATTTAAAGTTGTTTTCCCTTTTCTATTTTTATTTTCTAGTACTTATCAACAAAGTTATATTAAATAATTAATTATTAATTAAAAATCATATTAATAACTAATTAATAATTAATAAATAGAAATACTTAATAACTAATAAATATATAGTAATTACTTAATTATTAATTAAATATTAATTTATTACTATTAAGTTTTTAATTTTATTAATAAAATAATTAAATAATATAGTAATTAGTTATTTAAATAAAGATTAATTGCCAAAAATTAATTATATAACATATTAACAATAAAACAAGTAATAATAGGTTATTAAATAAATAATTAATAATTAATATATCAATCATATATTATGTTAATAATAATCTATAAATTAGTAAATAGTTGGTAAATAAAAAATAAATAGTATATATCAAATAATAGATTATTAAATAAACATTAGTAATTAATTAACTAATTATTTAATTATGTAACTAAAAGTTAATAATTTAAGTAGTAAACGGAATATTAATAAATTATGTATATACTAATTATTTTTCTTAATACACTAATTAATTACTTATAATCTAATAAATATGAGCACATTACTAACATAATAATTACTTATAATTAATTATTAATTAGTATTTTTTTAATTATGTAGCATATAAATTTATTATATATAATTTAATTATTAATGTACTCATTAATGATAATTTATCCATTATTATATTATTAATATTTATCAATTATTAATTACTTAAAATATTAATTTAAGATTATTAATTACATGTACTCAAAACAAACACAAATGTAACCAAACACGATTTCACTTTTTTATCATACTCAAACCAATCTCTTGAAAGACCATCAAACATAATTTCGAAATCAGTTTTAGAATGATTTTCAAAACAATCTCATTTTTATTTTTGTACCGAAAACAAAACCATTTTGAAAATATTACCAAACGGGCGCTTTAATTTTCCTTTTTCCATTTGACATTTTTAATATCTTTTTCATTCTTTTTGTATGCACCATTTTATAGCTTTCTATATTTTAATCTTCATTTTTGTTGTATATTATATTGTTCTCTCATTACTAGAGATGGTAGCACTTCTAAGTTAAAATCCGTTTAAGAATATTTTTAATATAAACGCGCATCACTTGTACTTTTGTCAATTTACAAATTTAGTTTTTTTTTTTTCAAGTAAAATTTACACTGTTTTTATCTTAGATTGAATTGAGGAGTGCTAGCAACGACCTCTCATTCAAAATAAAAGATTTGTGCGTGACATGGTTTTAAAAATGATCATATTTAACTTTCATGTGGCTTACGACGACAACTTTCTATTTTCAATCATCAATGATGATGGCGAGAGACATGTTTGGAGAGAGAAAGAGGCGCATGAGCATTTCTAAGATCATTCTTTTTAACTATCAGTAGGTATCACTATTTTAACCTTTAGATTAAGACTATTGTTTTAACCTTTAGATTAAGATTTCAACAACAGGATCTATAAGTGTCTATATTAAAAATTTGCAGCATGCGATATAGAATTACTACCATCACAAATCAGACCCTTTAAAACTTAATCTAATAGTTAAACTGATAATACCTAAAAATGGTTAAAAGAACAAATTCTATGATAGAAAAACCTTTTTCTTATACCTAAAATTTATGCTCGTATTTTTTATTTCCCTTATAACCTTCTATTTACTCCTCCTTCTAGGCTAATTTACATATAAAATAGTAGGTTAAAATAAGTAAATAATTGAATTAAATATCACGTAGTACTAAATAAATAATTTACCTAGTAAATTTTTTATTTATCACTATTTACTACAAAAATATTTTTAAATGTTGCGATATGTTTACTTTCTTTATTTTCGTAAAAATACTATTTACTACAATTCTTTGTGAATAACTAGACCTAAATAAGGAGATAATTATACTACGTGGTATACCTTGAGTTGAAAATTTAACAAAACTTTTAAAATATTATAAATTAAGCAAAATGACATAGTATTTTTGCTAATCACAGAAATGACATAGTTATTATCACTATGATATCACATTTTGTACCATATAATAATATAGCCATTATTTTAATAATATTAAATTTTACTATTCTTATAATATTTTAAAATTTACTATATTTAAGCTCTATTATTTAAAATTTACCATTTAATGTTCTTATATGTGTAAAGTGCCCCCTTTATTAGTATCAAGCCCAATTCAACATTCCTGAGCATACACAAAGATGAAGGTGGGGGGAATAGACCATATTAAGTGAGTAATAAAAATTAATAGGCCTACATTTTAGTTAGAAAATAAACTAAAGTGTGAATCAAAATTTACAACAACACAAAAATATGAAAATAACCCCACTTAAATAGAAACTTGTTCCTAAATGAAACCCTAGAATTCATGCCTTTCTCCTTATTTTTTCTTTCTCCTCACGTTTGTGCTCTCTCCTCTCTATTGTTGTTTCTCTACCCTTTCCTCACTACTGCTTTCTCCCTCCTCGTCGATGGTCTCTCTCTCCACCCGAAGCGTCATTGTGAAAGGAAATGTAAAGAGTCACGGGGAAGACCAAAAATCGTGCATTGAAAAAGATAAATCTGAACACTATACTTGTTCTTCTCTCTTAGGGTAATTTTTCCGCACTGGAGAACGGTCGAAGATCCTTTGAGAGAAAAAGAGAGAGATGGAGACCCATGGAGAATGACACAGAGCATAGAGAAAAGGGGATTGAGAGAGGGATAAAAAAAAAAAAAAAAAAAAAAAGTAAAATTAGAAAACGAAAAATTCAATCATAAAATAGTCTATTAATTTCTATACATTGATACGTTGGTTATTTCTTTATACATTATTAAATTCAAAGAAGGTAGGTCATGGTGGATTTTTTTTTTTTTTTTTTTTTGTTTGGTTTTTTTTTTTTTTTTTTTTTTTTTTTTCAATTTTGTACTCGGCTACATTTGTCACTTTTTATCGTTTTTGTATCTACACGTGGTCAATGTATATAATTTTAGGATGATAATTTTACCCATTAATTTATTTATCCGCAAAGACACACTTAAACAAGGCTGGAAAAATTTATTTCAATGGATATAGGTTATGAGACAGAGACAGTTTAGAAATCTTCGACCATATTTCTTGTAATTTACTCGCACAGTTTAATTATATCGTATTATAAACTATATGAATATTATGTATAATATGTCATAATATAATATAATTGTAAATATAAATCTTCGACCATATTTCTTGTAATTTACTCGCACAGTTTAATTATATCGTATTATAAACTATATGAATATTATGTATAATATGTCATAATATAATATAATTGTAAATATAATATATCACATAGTATATATGAAAATTTAAAAATATTTTTCTTTTATTAATTTCAACTTTATGTTTTTGTATAGTTGTGTTGATTAATTGATTAATTATTTATTCTACGATGAAATTAACTAATCGGCTAATCATGTAATCGCGAGTATCCTAAATTTGTGATGGAGAAATGCGCTCCGTAACTCGTTAACTTATGAAAATTTATTTAGAACTCTATTGGATAGGTATAAGGATGACAATTCATATCACGTGTCGTGTTTTAATCGTTTCTTTCTAAATTTGCAGTCAACTCAAATACGACCCGTGACACGAAATTTTTTAAAAACCGCAACACGAACATGGCACGACCACTTTACGGGTTGACACAACACGACGTGAAAATGACATGTGAACCCGAAATTGACATGAAAATTGTATACTTTTATTTAATTTTTTACATATTAGAAATAACTTAAAATTTATAACACACTAAATTACAATAACATCCATTGAAATTAAACAAATAATAGTATAAGATTTTGAGTATAACTATCATGATATCACAAGTTCATAATAAAATTAAAAAATTTATATTGAAAAATATATGTATTTTTTAGTTTTTTACGAGTTTCGTGTCGTGTTCAGATTAGGCGGGTCCAACCCGAAATTGACTCGTATTTTTCGTGTTAATACCAGGTCGACCCAATTCTGACCAGAACCTTTTTTTTCTCAACCCAAACCCGTAAAATTCGTGTCATTTTCGATTCGTATTGTCGTGTCGTGACCTATATTACCGGCCCTAGTAAGGTAAATGTAAGAAATAAAGTCATGTATGATTTATTTTTAACTCTTTTTATAACTCATTTATCATTTAATTAATCCTTTATTTTAATTATAATTTAACTAAAATAAAATTAAAATATTTAGTGGACATAAATGCACGTGCCTTTGCATGTGCAGTTTTTGCTTATACTTTTGTTAAGGGCCTAATCCTATTTTCTAAGGGGTTGTTTAGTTGGGGGATTCGTACCCCGATTCGAATTATGATTCATGGTTCGTTAGTGTTTTTTCTCATAAAAAATACACATAAATTAAAAATAATTCTAATCTCATAATTCTAATTTATGAACTAAACGGCTCTTAAATTTTTTCATACGGGATTTCTGATCGGGTCAAAACCGAGTCCACCTGAATCAGTCAGGCGGGTCCCAAGAATTGGCCTAAACCGCTAAAGTCTGTTTGCTTTGTTTTTCAGGAAAAATAAAATAAAAACGTTTAAAAAAAAAAAAAAAAGAAGAGAGAGAGGGCGCATCGTCATGGCGTAAAGTCCACCGCGTCCGTCTTCCGAGTCTTCTCGTCGGAGCTCAGTTCAATACAATAACTCAATTGAAGGAAAAATGGGTTCCAGCTTTCTCATATTGCTTCTGCTGCTTCTTCTTCTTCTTCTCAATCTGCTCTTACCCTTTTCGTCTGGTAATTAAATCTCTCTCTAGATTGATTTATGTTTAATGGGGTTTTCTGTCTCTCTTGGACCGTGGATTTCTAGTTTGGAAACTCCCATGTGTTCTTTCCTTTTGCTTTGTTCCATGCTTGTGTAGAAAGTTACATATTTCTTTCATATTTCCTTTTGTTTTTGTTGTTTCTTCTCCCCATAATCAAGTTTTGTTCTTTGAGGTTTTTTTGCAAGTCATTTTGTAATTTGTTATGTTTCTTGGAGTCAAGAGCACAAAACTGGAATTGGGTAGTTGGGAATTTGTATTTAATCGTGATTTTTGGTTTATAGTTTTTTTTAATGTGTACTTTAAATAAGATATGTTATGCAACTAGCGGTTCATACAACTTGGACTCTATGAAGATTGAATTTTCAAGAATTGGAATTATATATCTTCAGTCTCATGTTTGTTTCTTTTGCCAAAGAGGTTACAATTTGCTTTAAAATAGGTTCGGTTGAATACACCAAGTAAAAGACGAAAAGCATAAAAGTTCATACTGGCGTATAGATAAGATTTTGTTGAGAATTTTCCATAGGGATGAAATGGACGATTTGATGGTATTGTTCCGGTTAGGTAAGTGTTGCAAACAGTCCCTTTAATCATTGCATAAATGAAAAGGGGTTGCTGATACTATTTTGTTACTCTCATAATTCAATTTTTTTGGTCATTAAGACTTTAGATCTATTTCAATGTAGGTAAATCAGATGGACTCTGTATTTCACAAGGTGGTCGGTTTCCACCATTCTCATCCCAAGGGAAGCCTCCAAAAAGGGTAAGCAAGGGATCAAAAGATTTGACCCTTTGCAGGGTGTTCTGCCGAAAAACTTGCTGCGATGCAGCTCAGACACATCCTGCTTTGTTAACCATTAGGAAGCTGGCTTCAACAGGAGAAGCCAGTCAAGAATGCTTGCAATTGTGGGAGCTATTGGAGTGTTCAATCTGTGATCCACGTGTTGGTGTTCAGCCAGGACCTCCTTTAATATGCACCTCTTTCTGCGACAGGGTCTTTGGGGCATGCTCTGATGCTTACTTCTCCATGGAGACTGTGACACAGGTGTGTATATAAGCCCTCAAATACTAGACCATATGATTTATTCCAAGGGTATAAATATATGTCTAAAGAAAAAAAGAAGTTTGTCTCCGGTCATGTCGAGGGGATGGGAGAGTTTATGGGGGCTTACTTTATCTTGTGCTACAACGATATATTTATGAGGTACTCCATATCTCGTTATGGTTTCATTAGCAACTTAAGGATGCTTTCATCCTTTGTCAGCGTTTTCCGGCAGTGGCAGTGATTTTGTGTACCTTTTAGTGATGAAACAATTGAGCTGGTATACTGTTTTTTTCGTGTAGGCTTGATAAAACCCTGTTTTTGATTAAGAGTTTGCCTTCCAGGTTCTAGCACCATGTGGAGTAAACGATTTCGTTTGTGGTAGGGCTTCACAGTGGGTTCACAACGGTACAGAGCTGTGTCACGCTGCAGGTTTAGCAGTTAAAGATGATGCACATGTTGAAGAAAAATCATGCTATGGTAGTAAAGCCAGTCTTGATTTGATTGCTGATTCGTGGAAAGCTTCACGGTCTGTGGTGCTGCAGAAAGGTGGTGGCTTGGGGGTGTTGGATGACTTTCAGCAGTGGGCGGCGGAAATGCCGTTTAGTGAAAGAGTTTCATGGGCAGTCGGAGGGATGGTTCTTACGGCAGGATTGTTGTTTCTGAGGTTAGATACTTTTCCCCTGCCACCTTTACATGTTTTCTATTTTTTTTTTCTCTTTTGTTCCAATTTGAGGCGTTTACAAGTTTGTTTTCTTCTCAAAGCACAATTGGTGCTCTTTCGTTTTTGTTCTGCTGCTCTTTGCATGATAAACAAAAATTTTTTTTTTCTTTAGCGAGATGATTATTTCATTGTCTTTATTTCTTATGCGACTATGATAAGGCATTATAGTGGAGTGCAATGAAAATGGAATTCAAATTATACGTCTATGTAATTTGAGTATGTTACAAAATTTATTTATCAACTATTGCAGCAAACGGAAAAACTACAGTCAGCGTCAGAAGCTTGCCGGTATTCAGCGGACTGCGAAGAAACTAGAAACCAAGAAGAGCCAGAAATCTCCTGGCAATCAAGGAAATAAGAAGGGAAGATGATGATCTCGTGTTAGGTGAGCGTAATTAGTTTGTCAATTTACAGGTGAATCATAGTTGAATTGTTGTAAAATTAAAACTTTTCTTGCTCTTGTACTATTTTATTAGAAGTAGACTTGTATTAGCAGACAGTGTTTATCCAATATTTTGGATTCATGAGTTTCAATTTTGAAAATTACAATCTGGAGTTTCTCTTCTGTCTGATTTGCTTCTAGTTGATTTAAAAAGTTTACTATCATTAGCATGATGCACCAACTTGTCCAGAACTCTGGATCCATAGAATTTGTCCAGTTTATTCATTCTTCAGTACCGAGTTTTATGCTCTTGGTTAAATGCTGTTATCACATTAATTTTAGAATCTTAATTAGGAGTTTCCCTACCGGTAGTGCATGTTTCATGAACGTTGAATCTGAATCAAAATCATATAAAAAAGAAAAAGTGTGCAAAGCTGACAAATATTGATACATATCTAACAATTTGAAACAGAGCCTTACCGATAGTGTATTTTTTATACCTTACCATAAAATTATCATAACAATTAAGTCATATATATTGGAAGCCATTTTACAAGTGATCTGTCAACAAAATCAGTGAAATTACTCGTTGAAAAATGACAGAATACCATGGGGTGAAGGTTTAATTTTACACAAAACCAAAAGGTTGAATGCACGCCTTCAATTTCTAAACTCTACTCACAAATTGCACCTCTTGAGGTACAAACACAGCAAGTAACCTAATGCATATTTGATTTACAAACTTCATAAAGAATTTCTGTGCAACTAAATCCGCAATTCCCAAGCTTCAATATCAATCGTGACGGTTAATAGACTCTGAGTGCGACAGCAGGGGGTCACTTTTTTTTTTTTTCCTCAAGATCACTAGCTGTCTCTCCCATTCAACTGAAAGAAATACCTCAGAACTCTCCACATAAGAAATTTCTGTATCATTAGATCTTTCCAGCTTTAGGAGGCTGGCCATGCAAAGATGGAAAAAGGGTCATCAGATTCATATGGAAAACATGTTGTGGGAGATAAGATAACCAAAAAAGGAGAACAAAAGAAAAGAAGAGAATGATACCTTTTTGAGTTTTATTCTGGATGAGTTAGAACCACTAGATGATGCTTTATTGTCGAATGGTTTCAATATTTCGAAAGAACACACTAGACCTTCATCAACACTCAATAGAGCACCAGCATTGTCAAATTCCCCGCCATAGTTTGGAGCTGAAAAGATTGTGACTAATCTCCTTTTAGCAAAAAACTCATACCCATCTTCCACCACCTGCAGAAAAGAAAAATGAAAAAACTTTATTACTCCAACCCAAAAGATCAATCATTCTGACCAACAATGATTAACGCATATTTGCTTCACTTGCATTTTTCTATTGGATTACCTGGTGCCCTCTGCAAATGAGATCAAGGTCATTCTTCTCCAAGAGCTCAGCAACTTTGTCAGGTCCAAAGGTACACGAAACGCCTCGATCACTGTCTGCCCAGCCCTCAATTGAAGAGTCAGGATCAGACCAAAGAAGATCACAGAGAAGACCAGAATCTGGGATTTCAGTAGGTCTCGGAAGTTCCTTTATTTGATCCAGACGTTGCAGCTCGGGGGAGAGCCCTCCATGCATACAGAGTATCTTGTCGTCGATGAGCGCCGCCACGGGCAAGCAGTTGAAGCAGTTGGTAAAAATTTTCCAAAGTCTGACATTGAATCTCCTCTTACACTCATCATAGAACCCGTAAATCCGGTTGATCTTTGCGTCTTCGTGATTTCCCCTCAAGAGAAAGATTTTATCAGGATATCTTATTTTGTAGGCCAAGAGCAAACATATTGTCTCTAGACTTTGCTTGCCCCTATCCACATAGTCCCCAAGGAAGAGGTAGTTTGCAGCAGGAGGGTAGCCACCATATTCAAATAGCCTCAGCAGATCTTGGTATTGCCCATGTATATCACCTGCAAGAAAAGAAGCCTGAAATATTAGAATAAGCAAGAGTAGAAACTGAACTATGTTTTTTCCCCCCCTTCATTTTACAGATAATTTATGCCCTGTGATTTATGTGAAATGTAGGGATAAAAACAAAATATAATGCCTTAGGTCGCTGTAAAGATGCAAAGCCAATGACATCAAAGGACTAAAAGGCAATTAGGGAGCCAAGGAAAATCCAAGGAAGTAACTTTGTCACTCCACTTCTCTCATTTCCATGGTTCTAGAGTGTGTGATTGATAACAAAAGAATGCATCATATCAATATTGAGTAATCAACTGTGAGAACATCAGCTAAATAAACTAGTCCATAACACAAAAGAAGTTATACAATTCCTAAAATTTCCCTAAAAAGTACATCATTTAATATACCAGGAAACTCCACAAAATGAATCTCATCAATCAAGAACTAGCATAATATACGGACAAATGGACCTTTTGGCCACCCAAGTATCCACGACCCTACAAGGCTTAAATCATTCAAGAAGGATTGTATGTAACATGTAAAAATGAAGGCGTATCATGACAAATGTCATCCTATGTAAGAGCGACTTTGTAAGTGATAAAAACAAAGAATTTATCTATGACATACTAACACCACAATTTTGTATACTAATTTATCTACAATATTGTATGCAACATTATGACTTGGTACTTCGCCAAAACTGAAGACAAACCCTTAAATTTATTTTAAAAAAGCACCCCTTTATTCAACAGAATGAGGTCTAAACAACCATCCCGGCAACACATTTAATCTTAAAAGCTAATCATTCTGCTTTTGCAAATAAAACCCAGGTGGGGTTCCTCCAAAAGTTTATCAACAAACACCAATCAAAAAACCCATTTACCAATTCAAGTGAGCTTCTTATCCAAGATCAATTCTTTCACACAAACATCTCTAGACAAAAAATATAATACAATTGAATCGTTCAATTCAATAGCAATATCATCATGGGGAAGAGAGAGAGAGAGAGAGCTGACCACAGATGCGAATAGGAGCGTGGAGTTGGAGGAGATTAGGCTGAGAAAGGAAGACTTGGCGAGCGTTGACGCAGAGTTGACGGATCTCTCCCTCTGAGAGCTTAACCTGTTTCCCTCCTCTTCCTTCTAAAAGCCTTCTTATAACGTCGTCCAATACCCCTTTATCCATCATCCCCTCCATTGTCATCATCATCATCTTTCCTCAATTCTTTCTTTCTTTCAAGAAAAAGATAAAAATAGCTCTTGTGAATCAGAAAGCCAAGTTCTTTCGGGTGTAAAAGAAAAATGGAGAGCAAAGAAAATAAAGTTCGTCAACAAAGACAAAAGGGTCGATTTATACGTTAGGATTTTTCTGGTGGATTGAAGGACAAAAAAAAAAAAAAAGGAAAAAGAGAGATCAAGAGGAAGAAAGAAATATCAGAGAATTGTTGAACAAGAGAGAGAGAGAGAGAGAGAGAGAGAGAGAGAGAGAGAAAAGAAGGATTAGAAGCAAATTTGGGATATGGGTTGTCTCTCTCTCTCTCTCTGTTTTTTTTTTTTTTTTTTTTTTTTCTATGTACTTTTTTTTATTACTATTTTTTGTTTTTGTTTTATCAGTGGCAAGTAGATATGATATTGATTCAATGGGTTTGAAAGCTTCAAAGTCGGAGGACAAAAACAGAGACCGGCGCATGATAGCAGCACGGTACACGTGGGACGGTGTTTCTATTTTTATTTTTATTTTTATTTTTTTGGGTGTGTGTAATTGTGGGTTGGTCTTGTCTTAAAAGATTGGTTTGGTTGGTTGTTTGTTTTGTTAGTTGGTCTCTAGTCATCAAAATTCTAGAATTTGCCTTCATACACACACAAGCAAAATCGGACAATTTGTTGGTCTTCCATTACTGTTAACGGCCATCACTAACAAATTGGTCTTATTAAGGCCTCGTTTATTTCACCGATTCAAGTTTTCAGTTTAAGGTTTCTACAGTAAAAAGTTCTCAAAAAATGTCACATCTAACTTTCTCTGCTACAGTGAAAAGCTCTCAAAAAATGTCACATCTTAGCTCGAATTAAAAACTCGAATCCACGAAGTGAACGCGGCCTTAATTACTAACAATTATTTGGGCTCGGGCGGCTTACCTATTCATGATGTGAATCTACTAATCGACCTAACAATGTGTTAATCATGTTTTAAGCACACAATCCGTGTATTTATCACATGATTAAATGAGACACCTAATGTTATATATTTTAATTGATACATTTTTTAGTCAACTCTTAATAAAAAATTTCTTTAGTGTAAAAGTTTTTATAACATTTTCTTACAATTCAATGATGAGTAGTGTTCGGGGGCGTGAGCTCCGACGAAGCCCTTTGAGATGCCATGTTGGAGCTTGCGGAGTATTGACCATCTTTGTTTAATCATGTTTCATTTTGATGTCTTATTATGCCAAAAATATAATGAAATTTCACGAGCAAGAGTTTTATTTTCGATCGCCATATTCGTATTAAGTTTCGTTACTTTTGTAAAAAAATGATGAAATAAATATATATGTGTGTTGTCCTACATAAAAAGTGAATGGAGATGTGAAATAATTTATATGCATGTAAGGATTTAAGACTTAATAGCTTAATCTTTTGAGTCAAGTTGTACTCCTAAAGTGTATTGAGTCAGTTTCACATGTGGTGTCTCCCCAACAAGTAGTATCAGAGCCGATGGTTCGTACTGGGCCAAGCAATCACACTCAGTTGTAGTTTCATATGCGGATGGTGGAACATTTGGTGGACTTGCATGGTTTCGGCTCTCTTTTCCATGCTCGAGTTGGCTCTCATTTGGAGTGTGATGCTTGGATGTGCAGGCTATTAGAAATTTTACTTCGAGAGTGAGCTCGGTGAACACACACATGAGGGAGAGATTATTGAGAAAAGTGCATAAAATTCCAAATTTATCTCCCTTCTAATGTGCAAAACGATTGAAATCTTTCCCTTTTTTCGCTAAATAAAACGCCTTTCATTGTTTCTAGTCTTTGGTAATATTTTTCTCCTCTCCGTTTTGATAAATATTTATACTTTGCTCATTACAGAATGTTGCTAATCCTTTTTTCCTCTATGTGCATCGTTTGGATTAAAAAAAAAAGGGAGAATGATTTTGCAATTGGTTGTACATGTACTTGTTGATGAGATTTTGATGCTTCATAATGAATTGTTGAACTAGAGTTTGATTGGTAACTAATGGCGTTAGTTGTATGCATATCATTTATTGAATAAATTTTAAGCTCGTTACAATTTTTTTTTAAAGATGAAGGGTCATAAACCGCCCACTCCACTTGCCTCTAAGCCGCCCAACCCGCTATACTATTGTGCGGTTATGGATTGAGATTTTAGAAAATTTCCGATCTCTTAAACTGCCCGTCACTTGCTGAACTTGCCCATGAACAACCCTAGCTTCGATGTCTTCTTCTTCAGCTGATGACCAGACATTGCTTCTTAGCTGAACTTAGGCTTTTATAGGCTCCATAATTGCCTTTCGACTCTATTTATTGAATCAACGTCTTAAGCTCAAAGGCTCCATAAATGCCTTTCGACTCTATTTCTTGGATCAACGTTTTAAGCTCACTAATAAGAGGTAATATTGATTTCAAATTGATAGAATTTTGATCAGCTTTAATGTTTAAAAATCTACACTACTAATTAGATATCCGACAGTGGAAAACTTTAAAAACATAAACGGTTTTGCTAATAAGTCTTTCTTATCACATAAGTGCCATTAGAATTTATATTTCTAAACTATGCCGATTAGTAGTAGGGTCTGACGGGCATTCTCACAAAATAAGATGAAAAGTTCACATTTTAGCATAGTCATGAGAGATTAAAGAAATGTGTCGAGATAAGAATTGAGACGTCTTAGCACGGCACTGAATCATAGAAGCAAGCACCATATAATTGGCCGGCGCATTTTAGCAGGAAATTAGGTACACGCGGATAATTTGCAAAAGTAAAATAGATAATATAATATAAAATAAAGAAAAGGCGAAGTAAGGTTGGAATGAAGTTGAAGATTTTGTGGGCTTTTGGGGAATTGGGAGAAGGGAAAACCGCGTCATTTGAATAGGTTCCCTCAACGTACCTGTATTGGTGGACCGCATGCTTTAGAATTTCTGGTATATTGCCTCCATCAATGATAAAAGTGGGCAATTCAAATTTATATATCATTTTCTTGAGCTTTTTTGAGCTGACCAATCATTGATTGCCACGTCCAGTTGGTCCCCTTGGTTGGGGATTTTTATCAAGCAAAGTCATAGTAGAAGCTCCTTCCTATTAGTTGGAAAAAGGAAAATTAGGTTATGTGAGTAATAAAAAAAGTAATAGAAATGTCCGAAGTTAGGGGAATTATTGGACAGTTTGGAAATAATGGCTTAAATGCACTTTTGTAATATTTTACATATTTTTCATTAAGGCATTTTCCTTGCTTCTAGCAAATGCAAACATACCATGGAAGGGGAAAGTAACGTACACGGAGGCAATAGAATTTGAGTACAAAATAAAGCTTTCATTAGTTGATTCAGTTTGGTTGTTCAGGTGTCAGGCATGTTAGTCTCATCAACTTTTTTACGTCCGGAGACAGATCCAAAAAATTGAGTGAGAATGTACGCACATAATATTTCAGATTTTAAAGGAGTGCATATGTAATTTTAGATTTTTAAGGATGACAAACCATAAATTTTAACAAAATACAAATACAAAAGAAAAAAATTATGTGAGAACTTTTTACTGTAATAAAAAAATTAGATGTGACAGTTTTTAAAAATTTTTTATTGTAATAAAATTTAAATTTTAAACTCAAATTAGCGAAAAGAACAGGGATGCGACCGCCCATCATCAAGATATGGCTTCCCCGCTATTTATGCTTCAACTTCTTAGGTGACCCCTGTGCTTCTTGAACTCGAAAGCTTGAACATGCTTTTTTTTTTAAGAAACATTTTGTTTTTTTTAAGAAAACACTTTTTTTGTTTTATTTTTTCTTGTTTTGTTTTTTATAAGATGCCTGTTAAGTTAAAAAAATATATATATTATAAGACAACAATTCGCCAGCTACATTGTTGTTGTTTTGTTTTGACTTTTTTTTGTTTTTTGTTTAGTTCACGACGATTAATAGGCCTCACCACCACCGGTTCATAAAACGCTCTCATAAGTCGATTTCAACAGTGATTTATGAACAAACACAAACTTGATAGCTTTTTCCATAGGTGGTGGCAATGGGCCATATTGGCTGAACCCTAGACCATACATAGGACAAACAATTCAAAAATAATAAAAAAGATGTCCATTTATTTTCAAGCAATAAATCTTCAATCTGATGAAATTTCTAGATGATATAACTGAGATAAATCAAGGATAAGGAAAGAATATCATGCTGATATATCCATCTAATTGTTAGACACAAAATTTCCATCTAATTTTAGTGTCTCAATTAATTTCTGATGTTTATTAATCATAATGTGTCACTTTATTTAAAAATTTTGAAATGCTTTTAAAACTCATGGCTAGAGTTTTCACTTTCAGCTGCAAGTCAAAATTAAAAAAAAAAAAGAAAAAAGAAAAGAAAAGAAAAAAAATCCCCTTCTAAAGACTATTTATAATGCCAATTATTCCAAATAACAGATAATTAAAAGTTCCATATCAACATAATCGATTTCTACCTGTAAGTAAAAAATAGCAAGAATCGATCAAAAAAACACAATCTTTGTAGACAATAGTTTCTTGCAAGTCAAGAAAGCCGTTAAAAAAAAATCTCAAAAGGAAGAAACACTTATCCAATTGCAATTTAAGCCACACCCACACTAAGGGCTCTCTTCAAAATCGTCAACAGGAAAACTCGCACTGGCAATTCCCACAGAGAATTCCAAGTCGTCGCCGCTTCTTTTGACCTCAACAATATCAACCCAGAACTAGAACGAGAAAAGCTTCGTACTCAACCCTTCCAAGCTCTCCAGCTTTCGATTCGAAATAAAGCCTCTAATGGCGGGCTTGTAGTTCAACTGGTACGGGCCCTCCACAGAGAAGCTACAGCTGTTGTTGAAATACGCAGCGAATTTTCCGGTGGAGAGGTCAAGATCGTAATTTTTCACGCCTTTGGGAAGAAGCCCACTGGGCAAGTCGTAGTTTCTGGGGACTTGGTAAACGGAGGGCTTTTCAAAGATGGAAAGTCTTGTTTCGGATATTGTTAAGGAATTTATGTTTGTGAATAGGCAAAAGATTGCGAGTGAAAGCATGAGGTTTTTCTGATTGATGAGAAAGAGGAAGAGGAAACCCACGTTCAATCTGGCGTCTGAAAAGGTTGGGGTGTGAATTTCGTTGGTCCAAGAATAAAATGGTAGTTGGGACTCTGGACTTGGGATTGTGAACGGTTTGGTCTCTTCCTATCGCTGGTGCTTTTTCTGGTAAGTGGTTGAGTTTTGGAACGGTTTGGACTAGTTGGGTATTTTGGCTTTTAGAGGGTAATGTTGACGTTATCGGAATAAAGAGGTAAAGTAAGGATGAAAATTCGTATTGTTGAAC